TGCGCCGTGCGGAATGGGGGGCGATGGTTCGCGCTGTCTCTCCCTGCCCTTTTTCCCCCTTTTTCCCGACTATTTACTCCATCTGACCTCTTGCAGGTGCAGCGCTGGGCTCTCCCCTCCCCACCCCCGCTTTTACATCAGAAGTGCTTTTTTCAAATCAGTGTTAATCACGGCCTGGCAGTAACAAAAGGCTCTGGCAGGGCTTGGGGTTTCGGTGGAAGGCAGAAAAGCGCCAGCGCGTCGTTCCCCTCCTGAGGATGCTGGGGAATGGGGAGCATCTTCCATGGGATGAAGGGCCCCTCACCAGAGCCGGGACACGAGCTCCTCCATTAACTCACTTCGCTTCCTGCAATGCCCCATCAGGATGAATTTCACTCTAAAGTCCTCAATTTCCCCCAAACACTCACCTTAAGTGCACCGTGGGACTGTGAAGGAGAACATCATTAGGCTTCTTCCTCTCCCCTACACTTCTTGCCCTTTTTCCTTCCCCAAAGGTGGGTTTGGCTCCTCTGCACGTGGGCAGCCACACAGGAAAATGATAAACCGGTGAGGCCCCAGCTTTTCTGCGACCCCACTACAATCAGACACACTTTGCAAATTCGTTTGCACTTGTGTTGGCAATTAGTGGAGTTTTACATCTTATGTTTCCTGTTGCCAGCTGTTTGCCTTTAGCCTTCCCCATTTCTAGTATCTAAAGTAATGTAACCAAATTGGGTCTCTCCCTTGCTTTTTCCTTCATTGCACATGTATCCAGCCTTTTTTCATCAAAGCAAAATAGTCCCCATTTTTTGCAGAAGGCTCTGAGACGGTCTGAGCTGGATTTTTTCCTATGTACAACCTGCCTATGAGACAAATGCAGACAGACCCAGACACCTCCCAGCAGCACCAGTGCACGCACAGCTGGCCACCGCCGCGGGGCCAGGGCCGGCCACCACCCGTCTCCAGCCTCTCCGAGCCTTCAAGGAGAGCAGATCAGATGGCCTTGGCCACCCAGATGTCAAAATAGCCCAAGACACACGCACGCTCCATTTTTTTTTTCCCCTTCTTTCACGAGCAAAACAAGCAGAAGCACGCGATCAACCCACTGGCGATGTGCTGAAATGGAAAGGCTTTAGAGGAGTGCATGGGTTTCTCTCCAGAGGTTTCTCCTTGGGATTTTCATCCGCGTTGACGTGCCAGGCTGGGAAAGCACCTGAGGAGATGGCACAGCCTATCCGAGTCAGTGACCCATCAGCTCAGAGGGATTCGCCTGCTATTTCTGGCCTGCTGCCACCTATCATGTCAAAAAACCCACTGCTGGAGAAGAGCCTCAGATCACATCAGCACAAGGGACCGTGACAGCTGAGCGGGGGAAACAAAGCCAGTCCACGCTTAACCGACGCCGTGACGGCCCCTCGAGTCAATATTACCCACAGTTGAGAGACCCTCCGCAACACAGACCCCCCATGTGGGCTCAGGCTGGATTTTAGGAACACCCCGATACTCAAAGCGGGGTTCGAGCTGTTTCCCCTCCGCCCCAGCCCCAAACACAGGGCCAGTACTGGTTTGAAAGCAAGGTGAGCTGTGCCGGAGCAGAGAGGTTTCACGGTTATCCCAAAGGAACACTGGGCATCCCATAGCGCTGCTTGCGCTCGCCGCGCTGGAGGCGGAAGGGAGCAAAGGGGGTGTAAGTAATGGTTAAGAGATTGAAATTTGTAAAGCGGGATTTACAGCGCAGCTCCCCCCACCCCTCGGTACAGCTTGCCACCATACGGAGCAGCTCACGGTGAGTGAATTGTAAAATCCAGCGGGACTGGCCCAAAGGAAATTTCCTAAACACGCAACGGAAAAGTCAAGAGACCCTGACGTGGGTTGCTCCGGTGCTCCCGGGCGTCCTCTCGCCGGCAGAATAAATCTGTTGACACTTAGTGATGGCACGGCAGCCACTGTTGAACCCGTCATGGGGACTGAATTCAATACATCAACTGCAGAGAAGATTTCATTTTAAGGGGAATTAGCAAGCTGGGTATTTCAATAGGAGAACATCAGATGAAATCATGCACCACTTTGGTCAAAGCTATCCACAGACTTGGGCCCTTGGAAAGATGGGTTAGTGCAAAAGGTACCCAGTGAAAGCAACTTGGGAGACTGAGGTTAAAGGAATTAAGGTGCAAAGAAAAAAAAAAGCTTATCACTTCTGAGAAGGTATCTGCTCCAGCATCGGATTTGGAGCTGGAAAACCCAGCTGGGAGGGTTTTGCATCTTTGCGTGGCTGCGTTATAATTGCTGCAGCGTCAGGGCAGCAATTTTCTCCCCATTTCTTTCTCGGGTTGCAGAATCCCGCCTGCCCAGAGCAGAGGCAACGTTGCCATCTCCTGGTGGCACCTTGTCCCCATGAGCTGGGCAAGGCGAGCGGCCCAGGCAGGGTGGGCAGAGGCAGCGGGACCCTCACCTCTCCCTGCAAACCTTTCTGGCTTCTTCTGGCAGAGCCGGAGCGATGGGACCGAAGCAGGGGAGCAGCGGGGCAGAGGTGCTCCCAAAGCCAGGGATGGGGCAAGGCGAGGAGGAGGCAGAGAAGCGAGGTGAGGGTTGGAGGATAGGGATGCCAGAGTCATGGAGCGCAGCTCCGTGCTCCATTCCCCCGTCTCAAATTAGGGACCCTGGCCCTGGTCCTTGCTGGAAGGGGCATTGCTTTCGGAAACGAACTGCTGGAGATGGTGGCTTAGCCCACGAGACGTGGTTGTAGCACCAGTCTCCCGCCTTGCAATCACCCATGCGAGTCCAAAACAAACCATAAATCAATCTCCACAGCTTACCTCCATTAGGGACTCCGACAGCAACATCCTCCCGCAGCCGGCACGCCTGCGGCATCCGACCCAAAACCAGGTTGGAGGGATGCTCGCGGGGATCTCCACGCTGCTGCCGCTGCTCAAGCTGGACCCGAATCCCTGCAGATGCTAAACCCAGCAGGAACTGGTGAGTGATGAACATGAGAGGAGCGAGCAGATTGTTTCTTTTTTTTTTTTTTTTATTAGACTAGGAAATATAATTTATTGCATAAAAATTAATTTGTTACAATAGGAATGCTAAACTTTATTTACAGTTCTTTAGTTTACAGAATAAACAGATGCGGTTTTAGAGGATGCCACCAGGCCCATCCCCCGGACATATAAATATGGAAACAGATTGCGGAGCAAGAGACGGACACTGCCAGCATGACACAGACCGTGGGTTTGCCTTTGCCGAAAGGCCCGGCCGGAGAAACCCCCGGGTTGCGGAGGGAGGCACGGAGGGCTCCTGGGAGCTGGCACCCATGGGAGATGGGCGCAGGTGCTCAGAGGACCGGGGTGGGGGGCAAACCCCGCCTCCCCCCTGTTCTGCTCCTGACGCAGGTTCCCTGGTCTGAAAAACAGGGAAAACCTCCCCAAACACGCAGCTCGGCGGATCTAGGCAGCTGCTGCCCGCCAAAAGGAAGGGGAAGACGAACACGGACGGATGGGGATGGAGGCAGAGGCACCCGTGGGCGGGGCGGACGGATGGACGGACAGACAGGTGTGCATGCCGGCGCAGTGATCCGTGAACCAGAGACAGCGAGAATGAGAGCGAGAGAGATTCAGAAGCAACCTGAAAGAAGAGCATCTCATCTCACGGAGAGCACTGCGGCACTGAGAAAGGAGCCTGATAAAACGCCAGCAGCCGGTTTGATCCATCAGTTCTTTGCTGCTTTCCAAATTTGCTTACTCCCCCTCAGCTCAGAGGCGGGGTCCCAGAAATCAGATGCTCAAACGCAACCTAAAGGACGGATAAAACCCTTCCTACGTGGCACAGGAGCTCACCCAGCAGAAGTTTTCCCATCCAGCACAAATGAAAAAGATCCCTCTCTCTCCCACAGCCTTGAAAACCCAGCAAGAGATGAAGCCCGGAGACCCCGAAAAACAGCAGGGAGCCGCTCTACGCGTTCAGTCACTGCTTCAAGAGCTGCCGAGAGGAATCGTACCCGTCCCCGAGCAATACTGAAAGCTTCCCCCGAGCCGCCCTGCGAAGGCGACGCTCTCGCTCGCGGCAGGGCTCCCTGAGTTTGCTCCGCTCCCCAGCACGCTGCAGGATGCTGCAGGCATCCCGCGACACCGGTCCAGGGCTTCGCAGCCAGGACGCCGTGCATCGCAGCCCGAAGCAGGACCTGCTCTCAGACCCTGCTCTTAATACTTCCACTGATGGAGGATCCACAGCCTTGCTGTGTGATCTAGTCTAATCCTGAGCTTACAATCCCTTTCCTATTTATTTTTTTTTAAAACAGACAAATTTCTAAGATAT